GGCCCCCCAGCCCCGGGGCACCGCGGGCCGTGCCGGCCCAGGTCCCTGCCCGCCTCCCCCAAAGGACCTCCCCATGACACCCCTAAACCGCTGGGCTCTCGGCGCACCGGGCCCTGCACATCTTGGCGTCTGTGGCGCGATCCCCACCAGGGACGGGACGTCTGGGGGGTCTCAGGTGGGACCTCCGGGCCCTCGCCCTGCTGCCCTGGACCCTGAAGTGCGTCCTCCGGGCGTCTGTTCCGTTCCTTCCCTTTATCACCGGGACCCTTTTCCTTAGACAGACAGCCCCCTGCGCAGTCACCTGGAAAAGGGCCCTGGGGCCCCCCCTCGCGTGCCCGTCGCTCCCTGGGCGGGTCTGCTGGTGGGGCTGGGGGCACCTCCGGTGCCGGGGGGCCCGCGGGCGTCGGTGGGAGCCGCGGTGGCCTTGTCCCCTCAGTGTGCGAGAGCGGCTGGCGCTGCTGCCTGATCAACAGGGACCGGAAGATGCCCACGGACTACATCAGGAACGGGGTGCTGTACGTGACGGAGAAGTGAGTGGCCCCACGGGCGTCCTTGTCGCCCCCCGGGGACGGGGCTGCGCAGGCGGCTGTTCCCAAGGCCGTGCCCCGGGCGGGAGGTCCAGGGGCCGGTGCCCGGTGGGGCTGCTCTCAGCCGGGCCGGGCAGCCGTCCCCCACGCTCCCCGCAGCCAGCGGCCGGGGCCCAGGCTTCCCTCCGCCCCTCGCTGAAGCCCNCCCCTGGCCGGGAGACCCCCGCCGGGCCTCCGGGATGCTCCTGGGCGGCGCGTTGGGCGCCCCAGGCTTTTGACGTCTGGGGAACGTATCTCAGGCTCGGTGCCGAGCGGTAGACTTGACTCTTTAAACACTAGGAAGCTCTTTCTAGAAGTAAAATCTTCTGTAAAAGGCTAGGGTACCTAACCGGTGTTGGGGCTCTGTGTTCGGGGGTCGCCCCATCCCCCCGGGGGCTGTCTGGTGGTGGCCGGCGGCCCCTCTGGCTCAGCTGCGGGGCTTTTCTCTGTCTGTTCTCCCGGGTAGTTACTTGTGCTTTGAGAGCTCCAAGTCTGGCTCTTCCAAGAGGAACAAGGTCATCAGGCTGGTGGACATCACGGACATCCAGAAGGTCGGTGGGTCGTGTCCTCTGTGGGTCCCAGGGAGAAAGCCCTGGATGTGGGAAGGGGCCCGGCCTGTCCCCCGAGAGAGCCTGTGGTGACGTGTGCTCTCATCTTCCAGTACAAGGTCCTCTCTGTTCTCCCGGGGTCAGGCATGGGAATCGCCGTGTCCACGCCATCCACCCAGAAAGTAAGTGCTGGGCAGGCCCAGCCGTGTGGCCGGGCATCCCTGGGGCGAGCTCAGAGCCACTGACCTGCCGGGGCTCCAGCTGGGCAGGGGCCCTGTGAAGCCCCCTCCCTCCCCGGGGCCTGGAGGAACCTGGGGCCAGGAGGCTGAGGCCTGCGGGGATGACCCAGCAGTTACTGGGATGGGGAGCGGGGTCCTGGGGGCCCATCCCCTGCCTCTCGTCGGTTTCTCTGACGTCTGCCCGCGGTGGGAGGGGGTCCGCCCTGGAGCACTCAGGCCCTGTGGTTCCGCGTGGGCCTGGCCCGGGGAAGGGGGGCCGGCCACTGGGCTCAGCGCAGCGTTTCCTCCGCCAGCCGCTGGTGTTCGGTGCCATGGTGCACAGGGACGAGGCCTTCGAGACCATTTTCGGCCAGTACATGAAGATCACGGCGGCCGCGGCGTCCGGCAGCGACAGCTAGTGCCGCCTCTCCGGGACCTTGCCCGGCCTTTTTAAACACTTTGGTAGTGGGAAGAAATCGGGTGTCCTCTTGATCTCTTGCAATAATCCCCCCGGACCAGCGGTTTCCATCGTGTTGACCGGCGTTTACAGACCCCTTGCGCTGGGTCGAGCTGCTCTGACGGGGCCGGGCCGCCTGAGGGCGAGGCGTGTCCCAGGCTGCGGGCACGGGGCAGAGGGTCCTCGGAGGCCACGGGCAAGGATGACACGGGGGACACGCGGTCCCAGCCGCCGCCAGGCACGGCTGCTCCTCCGTCCCCACCTGGGCGGAGACCCGGCTCCGGCCGCTCAGCCCAGATCTCAGAGGCTGGACGCTCTTCCACACCAAAGCCATAGCTGAGGGACGTCGGCGATGAGGGACAGAGGCCCCTTCTCCAGCCTCTGTATCGGCCGGTGGGACGCGCTCTTCCTTTGGCGGGACCCCTGCCGCGTGTCCAGCCTGTGCCCTGCCCAGCCTTGGTGGGGGGCCCTTGTGCCCGGGCCGGGGTTGGGCCCACTGTCTGTCTGGGTCTGACAGGCCGTCTGGGGGCCTGTAATTGGCACCTGATGCCGATACAGAAGCACATTTTTTAACCCTTTGCTCTGGAAAGGCCCAGGTGGCCCTCAGATGAACGTCAGCTGCTGCAGGGCCAGCGTTGGCCTCCAGGCTGCGTCGGGACGGGCGGGGCTCCGGGGCTGGGGTGGGGACAGACAGGAGTGTCCCAGGCCCACGGTGGCCCGAGCTGTGCGGGGAACTTGCGAGGACACTTTGGGGAGAGACCGTGAGCAGAGTCTAGAGGTTTGGGCCAGGCCGTCGCACTCCTGGCGGCCGCNGTTTCCTCCGCCAGCCGCTGGTGTTCGGTGCCATGGTGCACAGGGACGAGGCCTTCGAGACCATTTTCGGCCAGTACATGAAGATCACGGCGGCCGCGGCGTCCGGCAGCGACAGCTAGTGCCGCCTCTCCGGGACCTTGCCCGGCCTTTTTAAACACTTTGGTAGTGGGAAGAAATCGGGTGTCCTCTTGATCTCTTGCAATAATCCCCCCGGACCAGCGGTTTCCATCGTGTTGACCGGCGTTTACAGACCCCTTGCGCTGGGTCGAGCTGCTCTGACGGGGCCGGGCCGCCTGAGGGCGAGGCGTGTCCCAGGCTGCGGGCACGGGGCAGAGGGTCCTCGGAGGCCACGGGCAAGGATGACACGGGGGACACGCGGTCCCAGCCGCCGCCAGGCACGGCTGCTCCTCCGTCCCCACCTGGGCGGAGACCCGGCTCCGGCCGCTCAGCCCAGATCTCAGAGGCTGGACGCTCTTCCACACCAAAGCCATAGCTGAGGGACGTCGGCGATGAGGGACAGAGGCCCCTTCTCCAGCCTCTGTATCGGCCGGTGGGACGCGCTCTTCCTTTGGCGGGACCCCTGCCGCGTGTCCAGCCTGTGCCCTGCCCAGCCTTGGTGGGGGGCCCTTGTGCCCGGGCCGGGGTTGGGCCCACTGTCTGTCTGGGTCTGACAGGCCGTCTGGGGGCCTGTAATTGGCACCTGATGCCGATACAGAAGCACATTTTTTAACCCTTTGCTCTGGAAAGGCCCAGGTGGCCCTCAGATGAACGTCAGCTGCTGCAGGGCCAGCGTTGGCCTCCAGGCTGCGTCGGGACGGGCGGGGCTCCGGGGCTGGGGTGGGGACAGACAGGAGTGTCCCAGGCCCACGGTGGCCCGAGCTGTGCGGGGAACTTGCGAGGACACTTTGGGGAGAGACCGTGAGCAGAGTCTAGAGGTTTGGGCCAGGCCGTCGCACTCCTGGCGGCCGCCAGTATCCCCCCTCCCAGCTGGTCTGGGCCCGCCCTGCCTGGGAAGCCGCGGCCTGGTGGAGGTGGCCGGTGAGGCTCGGCGCCCTGCGGGACGGCCCTGACCGCCGGGGCGGTGTCCCCGTAGGCCACAGCTGCTGCGAAGGGCACGCCCATGGGATCGGGGCGTGGGACCCCGGCTCCTCCACTTGTCCTGAGTCCTTTGGGTGTCACTGAGATTGCCGTTTTTTGAAGAAACAGATTCTATTTTTTACAGAGAGCAAGCTGTTTTTCTTATTTTTGTACCCTTTTTCAGATGTCATTTTTACCTTGGCTCTGATCCTGATTTGCTGGTTTGGGTGAGAGATTTGTAGCATTGCTCTGGTCACCCCTTCGCGGAGGGACCGTGAGGCCACGTGCTGGGGCCTGGGGAGCGATTGGGGGGTAGCCACGCCAACCAGCCAGACCAAGCCCCCCGCCCCAGTCGGTGACGTCCGAGGGGACCGCAGCACCCACCGGTGCCCGGACGCACTGGCATCTGAAAATGAAGGCAGGAGCCGCTCTAAACCTCGGCGTTGGCTCCCATGACCAGCACAGGTGGCCTGGCCCTCGTGGGCTCCGTAGAGGCCCCGGGGACACGGTGGGGTCAGCTTGTCAGAAGAGGTGGGATGCTGTCCCCAGGCTCGGTGGGGTGGTTTAGTTGGAGTCCCTTCCGGGATGGAAGGGAGATGAAGACTCGCCACAGGACGGTGTGGTCGCCCGGCCCAGTCTGCAGAGGGCCGAGGGGTGCTGGGGAGCAGGGTGGGGTCCCCGAATTGCACGGTGGGCTGGCGGTGGGAAGAGCCCAGACCCAGGCAGGCTCTGGGCTCCCGTTGGGAAGGGCCTGTAGTTTACTGAACGGTGTAAATCTGGGCAGATGTTTAATTTCTATGACTAATCACTGAACTAGAACGAATGTTAAGTCTTCTGTGTCCGAAGCTTGAGTCTATTTTGGGTCTGTAAATATCGTCCCCAGTGTAACTGTGTTCAGCAAAAGGATTGTACTGTAAGAAGAACCGATGAAAGTCCCTGTAACGTTTTTTAAGAAAATCTTGTTTAAAGAAAAAGTCTTGTATAAATTATAATTTTTATTTAAATAAACCTGAAATGCTTTGTGCTAAGGCGGGGGCCCATGCACTGTGGGCAGCTGGGGGGGCAGGCGGCACACTGTCCCCTCGGGTGGACCGGAGGGCGGTGCGGG